CTCGCTTCCTTGATTTCGCGCATACGTCGTCTATGACAGAACAGTGCAAAGAAGATATCTGTGACCGATAACGCATTTCAGCGGCTAGTAAGGCGACGTTTGGTAGGGTCTGTTCCGATTAGTTAATATTGATGAATGTCCGCACGCAGTGGTAATGATTGCAGGAATCTCGAAAGTTTTAGTGGCATGTGTAATCGAAAGGAGAGACAGAAGATAGACGAGCATGACACATCACAAATCCCACCTTTGCCCCGCTAATATACGAAGAGGGAGGAGGTAGCAGAAATCTCTGAGAACAAACTGAAGAATTACAATGTAGTGGTGGCCTGAACGAGTTCGCCCAAATACTAGCATGTCGTATCATGGCCTGTAGATCTATCTATGATTAGATGTCCGGGTTCCATGCGTCGAAGTTTGCAGCTGTTTAAAGGTTGTAACTACGTAAACGTGAGCGTTGTATACGCTTAAGCACACAACGCTGATGCCTAGATCCATATAGTACATTTGCTCGACTATGTCCAACTGCGACCAGTTCACAGCGTGTGTCCTACTCGAGTAGAGCATCGGTATACCCCGTAAGCCTAGGCAGATGATGGAATCTGTTTCGTATTTTGTTTTTCAATATCTGTAGCTAAACTTATTGTTGTTTGTATATATATATATATATATACATATATTTTCTATCTTCCGATTAACGCTGTTAGTTTTTGCCGCTGTGTCTCTAATACCAAGACTGGAGGAGGGACTAGTGTTTAATACGTAGTAAAGCCATTAGCGAAAATCGGTAGACTTCCATTTGAAACTCCGTTCAAATTTACTACTGTGTTGCATCTATTTGTACCGCTGCATAAAGATAGACAAAAAGATACAATTAAGCAGCATTCGCCGTCATCCGAACCTCTATAAGAATTATAATTTGTATTCTTATCGATTTTACATGTAATCCAAAATTCAGGTCGCAAGATTTAGTTCCTTACGTTTGTGCGCGTGTATCTACTGAAAAAAACTAGACGATGTTGTCACCCCCCTAATACGTGCTATTATATTTACGTAAAATATCACTGTCTGGCAGCATATCCTGCAAGCTAACAAATTATCCTAATAACACGCACAGCACGTGCCGAACCGCTCGACAATTGCTTGGTACTTAAGTCGATAACAGGTAATATATATATAATTTATATATTTTATAAATATAGTATGCATCATAGTCTATATTGACGCGTCACCCTCCAGCCTCGCAAAATTCGAATCGGGGCACCGTTCTCAAACAGAGCACAAATAAATGCTAGATTGCTTACCGTTCATATGTAAAATGCACACATACGGATATGTCGGTGAACCGAGTAATTGCGTCACGCAGCACCAGTTGTGTTCTTTGAAAACAGAAAATTTAACGTTTTTTCAACGGATTACGGATAGATTACGATGGACCGTTGCCAATTGATTGTAACGAGCGGCCTGCGCAAGCGGTCCGAAACCGATGCAGCAGTACGTCGAAATGATGGTTTATCCACTTTTACTATGTTCGCATATTGATCCAAGGAACAGATCATTGTATTTTTGTGGATTTTGCAAAGAACCTGTCGCAAACGAAATGCAAGGCGAGCATCTTTTGAACGCTTTAAAAAAGAGACAGAAAGTTAAGGACGACCATTAGCAGACAAGCAGTGATCTACGATTCGTAATAGTGTATCTCATTGTTTTCTTCAATCTTCAAAATGTTGGTATATTGGATCAGTCTGATTAAACTCGTGTTGGGGGCCATTCAATAACAATTAGTTCTGTCACGGTTACTATATATGACATTATACAAGGACATATGTCGATTAAAACGCATTTATAGATAACAGAAACAAACCAGTAAAGCAAATAGAATTGGGTACGCTTTACTCAGCCTTTTTCGTTGTTAGTTGTCACACAGTCGAGAATGTACATGTACAGCTCATCCGTTTTGTTAAGATAAATATTGTGTGCTGAGTGCAGATAACTGCCCGGCTCATTATGTGGACTACTGCAGTTACCCAAAGGTTTTCATCTCTATGGCTAGCGCCCGATTGAGCCCCCACATAAATAAACAGGTTTCCAGATAACTCTACTAGTAGGTTGAAGTACAGTTCATTATTATTATTACTATTATTACCATTACTGTTTCCGTTCGGTACTCTAGTGCCGCGTGCATCCGTTTGGCTTTCTCCATTATATATATTAGCATCACGGCACGACACGATGAAGTAGTAGGTCATGTGTCTGCTCCATTCAAAACCGTAATACCACCTGTAACTGCTCTTACTATATTCCAATTAATGCCCTCTGTGTGTATGTACCCAGATCATTTGGAGCGGGCAAGGCGTTCGTCGATGGGGCATGGACCACACACAAAATGCCCCCTACAATATTTACCCACTTCTGCCAGCGCAGCCACCACTAGCAAGTGCGGTTGTACCTAGCGGAAAGTGGAGAATTGTTCATTGTCAAGCCTCAACCCATTGGTAAGGGGCAATCGTCGTTGCGGCCGCACAGGCTTAAGGTTGGCCCGGCTACAGTGGTGTTGAGTACCTCTCTTTCTTGTTTCGGCAGTGGCGTTTGTCTGTCAAGCGTCTTTGTGCGAAAAGGCAATACGACTGTTACTACCCTTTGGATGTAAACACTTTTTCGTTCAGCATTGTCCTACGCCTTTGCCCGTCCCCCCTTTTTGCTCCGCACACTACCTGCATCCATAATACAAAAGCTTCTTCTTCATGAGCTATATTCGTTTCCCCGGTAGAGAAATGAACATGACTCACGGAGTGTTGCGACCGTGAGTAGAGCAGCCGCAGCAGTGACGGCAACATCCCTACCCGCGGCAGAAACGAGACGTCCGCCAGTAGGAAACCCGTTACTGTGAATTACGATCATGAGCGGACAACAATAGGGCAAAGCAGTAATAATAATGCCTATTCTCCGGCGTATTCAACAGGATCATTATCATCATTAACGCCAATGACATCAGCTTCAATCAAGCCGGCGCCAGCATTCTCGACAGGATTATACTGTCCAGGTAAAATAGCGCAAGGCCGTCCATCGTTTTACAAACCAATGCAGAGAACCTTAGAGGTGGTCGTCCCACCTGAACAAACCTGCACAGTCTGCATAACGAGTATTCACAGCTGCTGCTGTAGTGTGTAGTTCCCTTCGTGGAGAGCTCAGTGAGCACAGCGCTGCTGTAGCCCAAACCGTTTGGATTGATAATAATTCTTCACTAACACTTCTTTAACACTTGCTTCTCTTTAGAATCCAGCTAGCTATATATATATACATTACGATGTCAGGTATAAGCATATACACTGTGTATATTTGATGAATGGCTGTAAACAAGTTTTGTCTAGTTCCATTCAGGAAGATACTCCTGTTTTGCGTTCTGTTCCCTTTTTGTGATGACGTTTGCATCTGCATGACATCCTCATTGTCACCTCTTAGCCACAGATGACACCGCTACACGAAGTTCCGGGGCGCTACTTTTTAAATTTTATCGCAGTTCTCTAGTGTCTTGATGTCAGAGATCGTTCTCTACCGTCACATCCGTATTTGGCGACACACAAAAAGCACACGGATTCACAGATGATGAATATCGTTTAATTACGATTCTTCTCAACACCAGCCAGATTAAGACAATTAGAGACCAGACACGCTGCTGCGGTCGTTGCCGCTGGAAGAAAGGACAATTTTTGCAATGGAGATAGTGGTACTAAAATTATCTGGATAAATTTACTGAATGCCGCTTTCGCTGCCGATGAAGTACAGTAGATGGTATAGCTATCGTTGACGCTATCGCGCCTTCAAATTCGTCGACAAAAATTGGAGAAAGCAAAGCGCCATCTGAGAGACGTGTGCCTATTCACAAGAAGATGATCATCAACGTTAACATTTCTGGGATCTTATTATCAATGGGCAAATTTGTCATTCTGTCTCTCGGGGGTCGGCTTTTTACTAGCAGATAACAGATCTGAAACTTGTCACACTACCGCCATTGTTTTCATGGCCATGTAACAAACCAGACGCGTTTGCTAATGACTCGTCTGACCGATCGGCGACACAAGGCGCCGTGCGGCGAGCTGCTTTGCGACACCCAAAAAATATCTTGCGTCATGTACGATTGAGCTTCTCAGGAACTGTCACGTGTAGATGGCTATCCATCTTGCACTAACAGTTGGCAGCTGCTGGCCAACAGCTACGCATGGCTAAGAAAAAAAAAAGGACGTACCAACGAAAACTAAAAAAGGCGGTGAAAATCTCACTACCTAATTCCCGAATTCCAGTGGCAAAAATTTGCCGAAGGTAATAAAATCCTCTAAGTAGTTGAGCTGAAACATTACGGGTTCTTGAGGAGTCTCTGCTGTACCCGCTATCGTTGCAGCTGGACTGCAATAACTAAATGAAAAAGGACGCCAAAATGAACGTCTCAAGTGAAAAGACCAAAGACGACAGTCAGAGACATAAATGAAACATCTTATGTGCCAATTTATTCGCAGGGAACTTGCTTTTGTCTAGTTACGTTGACCATGCTAGATTGGGCCGGCGTACAAATTACACGGGTGGACTATAGACTTTTGGTGTTTTTCTGAGCGCGCGATAGCAGATTTTTTTTGCAGAACATTCACCTGTTATTGCAGCTGCAGACTACTACT